TGTATCTTTCTCTATTTCTCTCGGCAATGATCTTCCTCTTTTTCGCCGTGATTTGCTCGTCCTTCTCAACTAATCTCTAATCTCCCTCGTTGTGGCGCAACTTTCTCAACCCCTGAATCTGTTTCATAGCTAGTTTTCTCTCCTTCAATCCGTCGCTCTCTCTTTCAGCAACTCTCCTCTCTGATTTCTGTTTAATTTGTGTTCCAACGACGGGTTGTGATGGCAGATTGGTTTGAAGGAAATGGCGGTTCCAAGATATTGTTCACGTTTGACGGTGTAGAAGGGATTATTACAACAGATGGAGTTTGTTTGAAGGAATGAACGGATTCTGTTTCTCCGATGGAGAATGATGATATGGTTGGGAGTTTTCACCTGGGAAAACAAGAAGTCATTGGGCCTGGTTTGAAAGGAAGTTATTTGATGAGTAGAGAAAGGGAAAGAAGGTTTTAGTAGTTGTTGTGAAGGGGAATAGTTTTTTGACAGAAAAAATGAAACATGAAAGATGGAGATTTTTTGGACTTTGTGAAGGTTTTGAAGTAATAGAGAGGTTTTGGTTCCGTGTCTCTCTAAAAATAAGAAGGTCTGTATTTTTTTTATTCACAATGTTACCATTTTTCTTTTAGATCCTCCCTCCTCTTCCCTTCTGTGAATTGGTTCCCCCTCTTTCTCTTAAAACAATTTCAAAAACTTTCTATATTGATTAGTCCCTCTCAAATTGCATAATGTATTAGGTTTTGTTTTATTGTGAGGCAGGCATCGCAGAAGTGTAGTGTATCACAGGGTAGTGTTTTCTGCAAGTTTTGGCAAGTTTTTGGATGTGCAGAATTTGAAGTATTGTTAGGTTGTAGCAGAGGTGTTTCAGGTTTTTGCATGTTGATGGTTTTGAGTAACAAGGACTTGCAGGAGGTTCAGGTTGTGATAGCATATTGTAGAGGTTTTCATTATGCAATTTTTGGTTTTGTTGTTATGTGCAGAGTTTCCTTTGTGTAGCAAGCTGAAATGTTATTTTTATTTTGGTTTTATGATGGCAGAGATTTTGGAGTAGGGTATTTGGCAGCTTGTGCTTATCATGTAGCCTTTGTTTGACTGGTACGGTTGCAAGGCGTGGATGCAGAAGTAGCAAGAAGTATGGTCCAACTTTGGAGGGTTGTGGCATGTTGTCATAATGCTGGGTGTGCATATTTGCTTGTCACGGCTTGTTATTTGGAAAAGTTTTGTAGGAGTGGCAACAAGTAGGAAGGGAAACAAGGACAAAGTTGCAAAAACTATTCTTTTTCTATTTATTTTTTGTATTTTTGTCATGACTTTTATAAAAGAGCTTTGGAATTTATTGTAAATGAACTTTGTTTGATTTTGGTATAAATGGGCTTTGAATTATTGTTTGTGAAGATATAATGTGGTATGAACTTGAAAAAGAAAACAAATAAAATATTTTAAATAGTAAAAGAAAAGACAAAAGTTTGTAACAATGGGCTTTAAACTTGAAGATATTTTTTGGAATGGATTAAAAAAAATGAATATGAAATTAAAATGGATAACTGGTCTTTTAAGAAATGAATTGGATATTGAAAATGAAATAAAGTAAAAGTGAATGAAATGGATTGAGAAATAGATTTGGACGATGAAGTAAATAATTGGAATAAATAATGGATATAGAAAATTGGATAGGATTTAGAATGAAAAGTGGATATGGAAAATTGGATTTAGAAACATGAATCGAAAAAAATGGTTATGGGAATGGATATGGTTTTGTAAGGCACCTCAACAACACTTAAAACCTTGACTACCATAAATCCTGAGCCATATGACCAAGACCCTGCAACTTGACTTCACCAGATGAATTTGAATTGGCACAAAAACCTTGGTTGACGATTGTTAAATATAAGATACCGATCCATGACAAATCCATCTTGAAAATGAAGTACTCTCCTCTTTCTTGACCAAAATCAGGCCACCTTAATTAAACTGAAACATTACTGCACATAATGAACTTGCTAGCCTCAGGTGAAAATCAACTTGAACAACATTTTCCGATCATAAACACCAAGGGTGAGAAACCCTAATCTTCTATTTCTGATTTAGGACTTTTGCAGTCAAACCACTGATGAACCTTAAACGAACTAAACCCTTGTGGTCATTCGAAGAACTGAAGTCGTGCCTTGATAAACCTCTAATAGCAACTGTTCATGACAATTGAAAACCCAACACATTTGCCTCAAACTTGAGTATAATAACCAAAAGAAAACAACCTCTGAACGATGGAAATCCAACTCAACAGAAAATCTTCGATCTCACATTTTCAGAGCTTAAATGGTGGATGACCTATCCAGAACCCTAATTCACTGACCCTTGAAGTCTCTTGAAATAAAACCCGATTCCACAGGTGAAACAAAGAAAAACAAAAGCTAATAAATTGGTTAGTTATGCAATACGATTGACCTAAAATGATATGCAAAAGATTAAAGGATCTAAGGGTAAAATTTGGGGTATGACATATTGTTTTAGGAATGCGTAATATCTTGATTGTGATTGTTTGGCAGTTGCGAAAGTAGTACTAGCTCTGATTGTGATTGTAGTAATGGTAGTGATAGTGATTCTTTTTCCCCTCTTCTTTCTTAAGAACTATGAAGTTACTGATGGCGTTTACTTCTTCCAAGAAATTAGGGGTCGAAAACTATGATTCGAATTACATCAAGTAAGGGAACGTGAATATCTTCCAAAAGGTATAAATTTTTTTGGCATGGGAGATGAGAAGGACTTCACATTGAAGCCTTGCTCCAAGGACGAGAGAGTGTGGATGACGCCCCTTGAGTATTCAGAGAGTGATTTCTTCTATATGTATACCCCTGTGATTCAGGTCCTAGGGGTATTAACCCCTTTTACCGTAGTCGAGTATGAGATACTCACCATAATTTTTTTTCTATTACAATAAGTCCTCCAAAGATACTTTTGCAACAACCTCAAACTTTTCTTCTATGTTTATTTTTCCTTTACCTTATCACATTCAAGAGCAACTTGAACCAACACATAAGCCATTTCACGAACCAAACTAGTAATTGGTGTTGCAAGCTCGGTTAGAAAAGTTGGTTGTAAAGTGAGGTTTTTCTAAAAAGCGAAATGAATGTGTCCATGACAGTAAGCAAAATGGAGAAATACCTCAAACATATCTTGATTCTGCCAAGTTTCATCTTCCTGGTGTCGCTCTTTTCGGCCAAATACCTACCGGTATATTCTCAAATCTAACTCACCTCTGTACTTCCAGTCTTCATTTCAATGTTCTTACAAGTTTATCAGATTTGGTCAACCTTTAGATCTAACTTCATGTGTCAACCTTAGGAATTTTTACCTTCAACGAAACCTTCTCTCCAGCGAAATCCCTTTACTTTCTCTTTAACTTATCAGATTTGGTTCGACTTATGATGGAGTTTAACAATTTCCCAGGTCCTAGTTCTACTATTGAAAGTTGAATTAGTAAAAAGATTAACATTGAATCTATTGATCTGTGTTTTTCCATTACTCTCTCTCACATATACATTGAATTTCATTAGATCCCCCTATTTTAAAATCCGGAGTTTTCGTCCCTTTGTTTTCAGTTTTTTTTGAGTTTTGATTCCCCTATTTTAAAATTTGAAATTTTTGTCCTTCTATTTTCATTTTTTGTGAGTTTTGATCCCCTTATTTTTATTTTTTAAAACTTTTGGTCCCCTATTAAATTTGTTCCCAATTGAAAAAGGCGATTAAAATTCGAAACAAAATTTAAAATAGGGGATCAAAATTAAAAAAAAATAAAAATAGAGGGATCAAAATTTTAAATTTTAAAATAGGGGGACGAAAATTAAAAAAAAAATTAAAAGTAGAAGGACAAAATTTCTGAATTTTAAAATAGAGGGCTTAAAACTCAAAAAAAATAATAATTCAAAGACCAAAATTGCAATTAAGCCTAAAAATTATAATTTACTACAAAATGATCTAAAAAGTAAAAAATAAATAAATCTCATAACAAAATATAATAGAGAAACAAAAACGAAAACTTAACTTAAATTTAACTAAATATTTAGTAAAAAATAGAAATTTTTTTTACTTAATCACTTAGTGAAAAACAATCTTGTGTATGAATCTATTTATCATCCAAATCTTTACTACTCATTTTCTAATTTTAAAATTTTGAAGTGTGAAAAAATTATCATTTATAAGTAGTAATTTATTTACTGTAATTTTAATTCTTAAAAATAATTAAGTAAAATGTTTTTTCAAAACTACCAACTAATATATTTTAACGGAACATTTTCATTTATAAATAGTGTTTTATTTATGAATAGTAGTAATTCATTCTAATGTTTTAGTCATGACATTTGTTTTGTATACAATTTTAGATAACACATTATAACTAATTAGTGGGAAAAATGTTATTCTATTATATTTAAAAAATATAAAAATTAATCAATTAACTAGTGAAAAACAACAAAAACAATAAAATATACAAAAATTATAATTGATATATCACCACTATTCTGTTTTTTCTATTATAATATATTTTCAATTTTTTTTTAATAAAATACATTCTTTTTGTGTAGGATTATATAAAAAAATATGTTAGATATTCTTATTTTTATTGAAAATAATATAATAAATACATTTAATTAGTTAATCGTCTTTTGTATCCGTACCTGAATTTCAGGTTTAATGATTAATTTTAGAGAAAACAAGGTCGAAATAATGTTGTGTAAGAAATTATAATTGTTTTTTATGTTGATTATATTTTAAAAAGAAGTAATTTTATAATTTTTTAATGAAATCATTTTATAAAACCGGTTGAATTTGCTGTAAAAAATAAAAAATAAAAAATAAAAGTTGAAATAAGTAAAAAAAAAAAAAAGCCACGATGGCTTGTGTTGATGAATTGGCAAAATCTGATTAGTTGTGTGACGAATTCCAAACAAAAACACAGATTAAGTTACACACCCAGCAACCAACCTCCAAAGAACAAAACAAACACAACAATGGGAGCACGAAAGAGACTCATCACTACCCCTGAACCCTCTTCCGATCCCAAAGAAAACACACAACACAAACCTCGACAACAAATCGATCCTCCAATTTCACCACCCAAATGGGGTTTCCTTTTCAAACTCTCTCTCTTTTCCATCCCTTACTTGTACCTCATTTTCTTCCATTTCACTATCGATTCCGACCTTCGGACATCCATCATCATCAATGCTGGACTCAGTCTCGCAGCTTTCTTCCTTACAGTAAGAATGATCCCTGTTGCATCTAGATATGTTCTCAAACGGAATCTCTTTGGATATGATATTAACAAGAAGGGTACTCCTCAGGGAAACATTAAAGTGTCAGTCTTTCTACCACTTTTCATTCTTTTTCATATTAATTATATTGCTTAACCAAGTCGCCATGTCTTTGATTTTGATTTTAAAATCCGGATCTTCCCTTTCTTATGTGTTTGCTGGCTTTTGTTTTTCCTATCAATGTATTCACAATTCTGCATTTTCCTATCAATGTATCCAATACCTAATTAACAACTCCATTCCATTTTATTTGTTTAGGATCGAATAGCTAATTAACAACTTGAATCTGCAATACAAATAATTAGTATCACTATTTCTGTACTCCCCTTATTTTGTCTTTTTAATCAACCTTGTCTTAAATTATTATTGCCTAATATTCATAAGGGAAAGTTAAGCTAAGCTAAAGAATACTTGTGATTCAGTAAACTTGATTTCTGGTTTAGACAATAGCCCTGTCTGAGACATCATGCTCCATATACTCAATTATAAACTAGATACTACAAGAAAATTTTTAAGTAATTAAGTCCTCCGGTAATGATATTTGGATGATAAGCTCTTCTAAGAATCCTAATTTCTCTTGCCAAAAACCTCACTTTCTAACTCAAAATTGTCAAATCTCACCATCTGATAACACTCCTATACGTTCCCTGCCCAATCTATTCATAAGTTAAATACTACTTTTCATAACTAATTGTGGAGTGCTTGTTGAAAATAACTTATCAGCATGCCATAGTTATTTCTGTAAACTCTCCCAAAGTGACTCACAAGTGTATGTGGTAGTAGATAAGTTCAAGTAAGTGAATCTAAAATAAAGTGTAGTTCTTCCGCCTTAGAGACTTCTGTTCTAAAATGAGGTATATGAAAATTCCATGTGTAGGTTTAAGTTCCTCTTTTTATCCTATACTTGTCACCAGTTTTGTCAAATATTGGTCATTGCATGGATATCAATTGAGGTTTTTCGGTGTTCCGCCATGGCCAAATTTGTGAAGAATGGTGGCACGGTGCCGTATGTTGGATTTTTGGCGCACCGCCATCTGCCATCGATAACACTAGTTGTCACGAATTATTCATCATATTCCCTTGGAGTTGTTGAAGAACTCCATTCCTCTATTATTGGAGTTCTTGAAGAACTTTGTTATAGATTTTAATTTCATATATATAATTAGAAGAATGTGGATTTCACAATAGCTGGTGATTTAGTTATGTAACCAACTACTACGCTTGAAACACGTGGCACATAGAGAATGTTGAGGTGTACTTGTTAGGTTAAAATTTTAAATTGTAAATGGTTGTAAACAAAAACTCATTAATGTTTCATTTTCCTAGACCTTTTTATTTCTCCACTTCCTAATTAAGTTTAAATTCATTGTATAAAAGTAGAACTAGTTAAATTATCTTAGGAAGTAGTGCTAGCTTAAATGCTTCCTTGTGAATTGCACATTTCATTTACTATCATTATAGTTACCATGTATATGAATTAAGCAATTTATACACCCAATAGCATGCTTGCTTAATTTATATACATGGTAACTATAATGATAGTAAATGAAATGTGCAATTTACAAAGGAAACATTTAAGCTAGGACTACTTCCTAAGATACATTTAACTTGTTCTACTTGCTATACAATGAATTTAAACTAATTGGGAAGTGGAGAATTTAAGAGGTCTAAGAAAGTGAAACAATGAATTTTTGTTTTCAACACTCCCCTCAAGCTGGTGATATCCAGATAGAGTTAAATTAGAGTATCAAAAATTTCTCATGTTTATCTTGAAGCCAATAGATATCCGGATATTTTTGCAATTTAGGATGTAGTATTGATAGTGGGAATTTAGAATATGCTCATCCTCTGCAAGAGGATATGCGGGTTTTACATGATGATTATAGATTTTAGATGATGATTATAGGGGTTTCTCTTTCCCCCGATTAGTTTTTGTACTTTCTATAATCTCTTCCCCCCTTTTATTCCAAAAAATAAATTAAATTGAAGAGAGTAAGTGAAATATTATTAAATTATTAATCTTCATTAGTGAAGGTTATGAAATTGCTGCTAAAATGTTAAATTAGAAAACAAAACTCTAGCTTGGGTTTATTTATTTGGTTTATGTATGTCATGCATGCATAAGGAGAAATAGACTTCTATTCAGCTAAACAAATTTTTGGTACTATGTTTTGACTACGTTACATTTTCCTCTGCAGACCTGAATCATTGGGTATAGTTGTTGGTATTGTCTTCTTGGTTGTGACAATCTTATTTCAGTATTTCAACTTCACAGCAGATTCAAATGTAAGTATATAATTGTAACTTACGAGTATGAGTATGTTAATCTATAGTTTTAAATTGTGGTTGTAGTTATGCTGCAAACTTTTATATTGCCGCAAAATGTGGCCGATATAGTCAAAGTTGAGGTTGTGATGCCGTTACATTACATAGGCCTCAAAATTATTTGTTTATATTCCGCCTGCAATAGCAGTTAAATACCACAATTTAAAGCCATGATCAATACATCTTGCAATAGCAGTTAAATACCACAATTTAAAGCCATGATCAATACATCTTGGGAATGTGATAACAATCAAATAATTGAGCATTTAAATACATCCACAAGTATGATTTTGCAGTGGCTTGTTGAGTACAATGCTGCTTTAGCATGCATCTGTTTCATGACATTGCTTGGATTTGTCGATGATGTCCTTGATGTCCCTTGGAGAGTGTGAGTATACAAAGTTTTCATTATTTTCCTCCACGATTTGTTCATGTCAACTAATGTTAGAATAGTTTCTTTTTTGATTTAATGCCAATGTAAAAGAACAGAAAATTACTACTACCATCAATTGCTGCACTTCCTTTGTTAATGGCATATGCTGGACACACAACTATAGTTATACCAAAACCACTTGTACCACACATTGGCATAGAGATTTTGGATCTTGGTAAGCTTTCAATACCTTTACGCAAATGGCACCTGAAAAAATACTAATTACTGTAAAATCTCACTATCCCGACTTTTTTTAACAATACAGGATGGATATATAAACTATACATGGGGCTATTGGCCGTTTTCTGCACAAATTCGATCAACATACATGCTGGATTAAATGGCCTTGAAGTTGGACAGACGGTGGTTATCACATATGCTGTAAGTCGAAAAGCTTTTAAAGTAAATACAATATACTTTAATCATAAAAAATGGTTCATATTGTGGATTTGCAGATTCTGATTCACAATATTATGCAAATTGGAGCGTCAAAAGATCCTGAATATAAGCTAGCACATGCATTCTCCATTTACTTAGTGCAGCCATTGCTAGCTACCTCTTTAGCTATACTCTCTTACAATTGGTATTTAATAGTTTATATCATTTTGTTCAAGACCTTATTTTCACATGAACGGGTGTAGTCCGCTAACAGTCATTGTTCTCTTTCTAGGTATCCTTCTTCAGTTTTTGTTGGTGATACGTATACATACTTTGCTGGGATGACTATGGCCGTGGTTGGTATTTTAGGCCATTTTAGGTATATCCTTGCTTTAACCGACAAAAGTATTTATTTGGATTTTCAATTTTATGTGTTTTCAGTGCTTATCGAGTTAAAACTTGTGAATCAATTTTCTAATTTCTGGTTTCACATAGATTTTTCCGCTGTACTTAGAATAAGTACTTTTGCAGCATTTTATGCGAAAACCTACCACTTCTCCTGCTGTATGATAAATTGGTACACTGTTCCACTGGGATTTGGGATTTATGAGCTTGTATTACTATTACTATTATGATTATTGGTTTCCTAGTAATAATTGATCATTTAACTTTTTTGTTTCAGCGAAACACTCTTGATTTTCTTCCTGCCTCAAGTTTTGAACTTTCTCTTGTCACTACCACAGGTTTGACTCTAACAGAACCTCTCTTTTTTTTTTAATAAGTTAAAAGTCTTCTGAATAAATTGTCTGACAAAGAATGAAATTTCCTCCAGCTTTCTGGCTACATTCCATGTCCACGTCATCGTCTTCCGAGGTAGGTGTTTATTTCATGCATCTTGCATGTACATATTGTTTGGTTGAAACCTCATGCGTCATCCACCAATTCATTCAGGTTTGACCCTCACACTGGACTACTGACTGGAACAAATGATGGAACACTTGTTAACTTCTTTTTAAGAAGTTTAGGGCCGAAATCCGAGAAGTCCCTTTGTGTATATCTTCTGATTTTCCAGGTGATGATTCCCATCTACTGCTTTTTTTTTATAATTTTTTTAAACCAATTTGGTTTATTAATATGACTAATTTCTTAGTTGAACTCTTATTCTTTATCATACTTTTTGATCAGGGTATTGCATGCGGTTTCTGTTTCCTGCTGAGGTATTTCCTTGCTGGTTGGTACAAATGAGAAAGCAAGCCTGATGAGAATCACATGAGAGGCTGAATTGTTGTATAATCATTTTTGTAGAAAAATCATTTTTAGTGTAATTGGATATAGGAATTTCTTTTGTTACTTTGCATGTCAAATATTAACTTCAACAATACACATGTTTTTAACACCCTAATATTATGAGACAGACGGAGTATTTTATATCATTATTATGAGACAGAGGGAGTATTTTATATGATGACAGTCTTGTAACACCCTAATATTATTTATTTTATGTACTTTATGGTTCACTGTTTCAAAAAGAGGCATTTTAATTAGGGTTGGTCGATTTTTTTTTTTTGGATTTTTTAATCTAGCTCTTCATACTTTTAGGCACTTAATAAATTTCCTTTCATGCTCCTTGTTTTTAAAGATACACATTCAGATGTACATTTTTTTTTTATCAAAATTTGAATGTTTTCGGAGCTACAGTTACAGAATAATTTTTTTCTAGTATACGTTGCGAAAAACGTCAAAATAATTCAGTTCTGGAAAACTTATGTACATGCACCTCCGGAACGTTTATGCGCCAAAATGTTTTGTAGATACAACTCTGAAAGTTTCAGCTATATTTTAAACCTGCATGATCACTCTCTCATTGTTATCTTTTGTTCTTCCACACTGACCTTCACCAACCTAAAAAGTTTTACATTCTCAATATCATTTTCACTTCAAAACTTCAACTTTTTCGTGCAACAAATCAAAGATAGTAAGAGAAGATAGAATTTCATGTAAAGATTGCACTTTGTCCACTATGTTGCTCACATTAATCATCAAAGTTTTGGAAAAAAAAATAACGATGCTTCCGGAGTTGATACCTCCGAAACGTGTTGAAGGTAGGTGAACACTTCCGGATGTACACCTCCGGAACGTGTCTGTTCTGTTATTTTACAGCAGTTTTGTAATTTTTGTTTATTTTTCTTATTGTTTACAAATAGATATGGTGTACACCGATAATATCTCCAAAGAATTAGTTTCCACAAGCGATGTTTCTCCGAATGTTCAAGGGGTTGTCGTAAAGTCTGTAGATGTCGGCGTTGACTTTAATAACAAGCAAGAGTTTGATGATCGTGATAGCATGCTCACATGGATTCGTAGGACTGCAACTATATTTGGTTTTGGTGTGGTTATAGGAAGATCGGATAATGGTTCGGAAAGAAGAAACGCTTTTGTAACTTTGTTGTGCGAAAGAAGCGGAAAGTATCAAACTCCTCTACGGAAGTTTAAAAGAGACGACACCGATAGTAGAAAATGTGAATGTCCTTTTAAGCTTCAAGGTTACATGTTGAGTACCAAAAAGTGGAAATTTAGTGTTATTTGTGGTTTGCATAACCATGAATTGTGCTTAAAGTTACAAGGTCATCCTAGTGTATGTCGGCTCAAGCTAGAAGAGAAGACATGTATCAGTGACATGACGTTGAATCTTGTCCAACCGAAAAATATACTTGTCACATTGAAACGGAAGGAACCCGACAATATATCAAATATAATGCAAGTGTATAACATTCGGTACCGCACCAACAAGGCGATTAATGGAGATAGAAGTGAGATGCAACAACTGTTGAAATTGTTGGATGATAACAGTTACGTGTCCCGATACAGAACTTGTGACGATGGAGTTACGGTCCGAGATATTTTTTGGATTCATCTGGATTCGATAAAGTTGTTCAACATGTTCTCGACAATGCTCATTCTTGATTCTACCTACAAGACCAACAAGTGTAGACTTCCTTTATTTGAGATGGTTGGTGTTACGTCTACCGAAAAGACATGTGTAGTTGATTTTGCTTTTCTGGAGTGTGAAAAGGAGAACAATTTTGCTTGGCCATTAAAGGCGTGTCGGTCACTTTTGAAGGACCAAGTTGAGATGCCTAAAGCGATTGTTACCGACCGCGTTGATGAATGTGGTTGCAAATATATTTCCTTCTTCTAATGTATTTATCGATATTACATAACAAAGAATGTGAGAAGTCGGGTTAAACTCGCGGTGGGGGCAAAACAAGTAGAGTCTGAGGGTGAAAATTTGGTGAAGGCCAGTGTGATTGTTGAAAAAATAATGGATGCATGGAATCGTATAATAAATTCTTCCGCAAAAGAATTATATGTCGATTTCGTCATTCAATTTCGGAAAGTGTGTGAAAAGTATCCTACTTTATTGAAATACGTTAAAAGCAACATTCTTGATCAAGTGAAGGAGAAGATAGTATGTGCGTGGATTGATAATGTCCGACACTGAAATTCTAGGTACCCAACAATGGATGTTATCACTGATGTTATGACATCCACTGTAACACAGACTACTGAACTTAATATCAAACTGTAAGTGAAAACTGTAAATAACACAAGTAATTGTTCACCCAGTTCAGTGCAAACCACACTTACATCTAGGGGCTACCAAGCCAGGGAGGAAATTCACTATTAGTAGAATTAATTCAGAGTCAAACAACCAGTTTGCACTCTTCACTTAAGACCTACCCAATGACACTTCAACCTAACACTAGACCAGAGTTACCAACTCACTCCCCCTCAATCACAACAGTGATATAAAACAATTCAAGATTACAAAAGAGAAATTGAAGACACACTTCAAACACACCTTGATCTTGCTTCACAACTTGGATCAAGTGACACATCACTCTTGCTTAAAAGCTTAGAGTGAAACATTGAACAAACAGTTCACACACACTAAACCAAAGCAATCATGCGGCAGACAATTACTTGGCATACAAGTATTCTAAGAGACAACACACACGTGAAGAACAACTAATACAATCAGACTTCTTCACTCACAAACTACACTCTTCAATCTCTGCCTGATTAGGATTGATCCTCTGTTATTTATAGCAGCAAATTGTCTTTGGGCCTTCGTGCAGACGTTAGGTTTACCCAAGTAAACCCTCTCTTCACAAACCTGCGCACTCCAATTAGGTCAGGGGCATTCCATGTTATCCTCACCAGTGCCCTGACATGTCGCCTAAGATAACTAGGCTTCCTAAAAAGTTTCCTAAAGTATAGCCTGAGCTAATAACAGAAAAACTAAAACTGCGCGCCCTGATGTCATACGCTTGAAGTCATGACATTCAGCATGACATCCAACATACCTGACTCTTAGCTATTCAAACTTAATCATGCAGAACAACCCTCATGTATGTCATACATCTGTCATGACATTCATACCTACAATATTGTTTTACCATAAAATGCAGCCAATCAAAAACATCTACAAACTCCCCATTTGAGAATTTTTTTGGCTAAAACACTCTGTTGTCATCTCAGAGATTACAAGCAGCAGAAACATTTCATACCATATACTAATCATGCAGGAAAGCTACTAGCTAACAGCACACACAGTTGTATTACCATATCAGAGTCATCTACACAACCTGAGTACTACCTGTTAGTCCAAACTGATGCTCCCCCTTAACTGATGCACAACACATCAGCTCAACCACAACCTGCAGTCACACAATTGATCCAGACTGCTCTGGTTCATGGATGTCAGGACATTCAAGATGACATCCTGAACAACACAATCACCTGTTACATCCTGTGTTACTCCCCCTGAAAAGATGCACAACCACACACATTCTGCAAACACACTGCATACACACACAATATTAGCCACTCTACTACTACTAGGTTCCATCAAGGAACACACACAATCAGCATCAACCTGCAAACACACTCAGAGCAGTAACAACATATCATCACATCATGCAAACCTGCTCAATGCAGATATGCACAGTAGCAACAACAAACAAGTCTTCTACCTGTGAGGGACACACATACACATCTAGCCCTGCTGTTACTACCACTTCTCCCCATTTTTAGCCACAAATTTAGATAAAAACTAATTAAATTGTATAGATCAAAATAAGTATGGAAGCACAGATGTTAGGGTTTATTACACCATACTGCTCATGAAGAGCATCACAAAAATTCCAGGTTGTCACAATAAAAAAAAATCTAACCAAAGAACCAACACCTATTCAAACCAGCAACACATCATCATTAGCTCAGAAACCAGTAGCACCCCATCATCCTGAGCCACAAAGCAAGCCACCAACACATTAATCTTCCTCCTCTTCAGCAGAACTGGAACTACCCTCCTCAACACTAGTTGTGACATCTTCATCTTTATCTTCAGATACTTCCCCTGGCACATTCTCACTATCACTATGAACAGTATCTCTTTCAAGACTTTGAATGAAGGATTCTAGCTTGATTTTTCTTACAGTGGCAGTCTTGATAGTTTCTCCCAATTCCCTACAAGGTTCTCTTAATTCAACAATGATGATTGCTTTAGAGATATTGGCCTTCTCATCAGAAGTCAAAACAATATCAGGGACATGTCTCCCAGCAAAGAGTTTGAAGTGAAGAGACAGTGCAGACTCTCTTTTGCTAGCAACATCACTAGAGTTCAGAATCCCAGGGTATTGATTCAAATTAATCTCACAAATAAGGGAGGGAAAAGCAATGGGCAGCTTGATAGCATTGGTTGTAGAGTGCTTAACAATCTGATCAAAGATGTACAGACCAAAATCAAAGTTAACTTTGGTGCCTATGGCATGAATGATCTTGCCAAGCCCAACAGTAATGGTGGATGTATGGTTGGTAGGCACCCAATTAATAGCTCCTATTCTATGAAGAATGGCATACTTTATACTGAGCAGTCCTGCAGACAACTTTTCTTTGGATGGCCATATCTTGACTTGATTTGCAATGATGATCCTGCAAACCTGGTTGTCTGAAGCAACCAATTCTTTCTCACCACCATTTGCTCGCCCCAAACATCTGTTGATCATAGCAGGAAAGAACTGCACACACTTTCCTTTGACAAACACCTTCATGAACTCCTTGATGTCCTTATTTGAGATTGAGTTAGGTATGTTTATAATGAACTCCTTACCAGTCCTTCGTAGCATTTGGAAAATCCAGTGACAGTCTTGAGCAGTCCAGCTTTGTTGATTAGATCCAAT